ATGGAATAGCAGATTTGACAAATCTTGAATACTTTGAAAGTGATAAGGTTGTTTTTTGGGAAAAAAAATTAAATGCACATAACTTTAGGGGAAAAAATTGGGGTTTTGTTGTTGTTGTTACCCCCATGTAAGTGGTGACTATACACATGGACTTCTCCAGACGGAATACACAGAAATATTTTGGGGAAGAGACAAAGGAAAAGCTCAATATCAGCAGCTAAAACAAGGCCAGGGGCTGACTCTGAAACAGATCATCAATTGCTCATATGTAAATTCAGGTTAAAGCTGAAGCAAAATAAAACACATTCATCAGAGCCAAATATGACCTGGAGTCTATCCCACCTAAATTTCAAAAACATCTCAAGATCAGATTTGACTAATTGAATGCTAATGACAGCAGACAAAAAAAACGAGTAAGGAAGACTGAAGAAGAATTGATGCCTCTGAATTATGATGCTGGCAAAGACTACTGATAGTAACAAGCACATGTGTTTGGAAGAAGTGCAGCCAGAATTACCCTTAGAAGAGAGAATGGCTAGACTTCCTCTTGAATATTTTAGACATGTTATCGAGAGAGACCAGTCACTGGAAAAGGACATCATGCTTGGTAAAGTAGAGGGACAGCAAACAAGGAGGAAGACCTTTGATGATATGAACTGACACTGTGGCAGCAAAAATGGGCTCAAAAACTGTGAAGAAGGCCCTGACTGGCCAGTGTTTCATCTGGAAACAATGTGACAGCATCTAACAGCAAACTACAGGGGAGCTTCTTTCTCCTCTGTAGCAGAGTGAAATTACAACGAGAATTGTCCCCAGGACTCATTCACTTGTTCCTAATTCTGCTCTCCTGCAATATTCCCAGCACTTTGTCTGATGTTAGCCAGCCATTAACATTAATAGGCAGCTGTGCCACCATATGACTGCCAACGAAGTCATTCATACCCTTGGAGAAAGCGGATGGATTCTGGGATCCCACTTAATTCTAGCCCCAATACAAGAACAATCAATTTTCATAAGGGTGCTACAGTAAGATGTGGTGACGAAAGCAGATGGTGCCCGGCTATCAATTGGAATAGTGTTTGGGGTCTTAAAGGCTTGTATTCAAACAAGTAGCCATCCAGGTGAGCTGTCAACTAAGGCCACATGGACGAAGCCCACCTGCCTGTGTAATCCAAAGATGATGAGAACAAAATCCAAATATGACGAAGGGAAAAGTATCAGAGCTTAAATTGTGGACATGCAATTTGTAGAAGGCTCTGGAGGACAGTGGGAGCCCAAAATCCATCTGCAGAGAATCTAGTCAGATGAAGGCTCTGGCAGATCCCTCTGACCACAGGGGAGGGCCTGGAACAGCTTTACTGTCAGATAGAGACTATTGTACACTTGATTATGGTGGATCAAACCATGGTATAATATGATATTTGCCCAGTAAACCTCCCTCTTGACCCAACCTGAATTTTCTCTATGCTTAAATATTTCTTGTTTGTTCCATGAAAGCAATCTCTTCTCTGGGTTTTTAATATTGTTGGTGGTCTTTTCTTTCTTACACTTTATTTTTATTATTATCTTTATATTATTATCATTATAATTTACTTCTTTCTGCTTCATTTTGCTTTTTTTATTATGTTAGATTTCCCACTTTATAAAATGCAGAAGGAATGGATTAATACAGATAATAACCGATGCAATGGCTTATGAACAAGGGGAGGGGAGGGGGGTGGGGAAGCAAACAATGAATGCAGAGGGCGCAGGGAGCACTAGAGCCGATTGTGATGATGTCTATACAACTCTTTTTAAAAAGTGACTTAACAATGGAAGTATATTTTTATATCAAGAAAACTACTGAAAAAAAGATCCAGATGACTACCATGGGTGAAGGAGGAAGAGTTTTTGCTTAGGGGGGGATCCAGTTTAGGTTAATGGTACTGGAATAATTTGGAAAAGGATATCAATAATGGTTGAATAACAGGGTATAATCAATGACACTAAAATACACATGGAGAAAATGCTGAATTGGAGAATGTATTGTGTTTCTTTTTGCCACAGTTAAAAATAATAATGCCTACACTT